CCCCGACGAAGGGTCAGATTTCCCCGACAAAAGCAACGTGGGCGTGGCCGAGCTGCGATGAAAATGTTTAGAAAGTGGTCCTGGTGGCGAAGCCCCCCGAAAATTTTGACAATTTATGGGTTTCAATTAAGGCTTATTTAATCAATTTTATATAGTACTAATATGTAGAAGATACATATAATTTTTTTTCTCCCCGACGAATTGTGCTTTTTCTTCCCGACGAAGGTGGGGGGGGGGGCAGCTCTCTCCCTGACATAAAATTTGATTGTGCGGACAGATTATAATGGCAATTTGTGTGATGTGAAAAGGCATCTAAATTATTGCACTGACCAATTCGCGGTTAAAGTTTCTACTGTAATCACATATTTTTGCGAGAATACTGACTAATCACATTTCATTGACTTAAACCAACAATATACAGTACATTCGCTTAATCAAAAATAATACAATGATCTAAAAACAATCAAGTTCCTATATAGTTTCTGTATAGATTTATGCATTATATATCTATAAATTATTATCTTTATACATAATTATTGTAAGTATTGTCAGCTTTTAGTGAATTAATCTTTTAAACAGTATAATATACTTATTGCTTGTAATGACCATGAACTGTTTTGTAAAGAAAAAAAGTGATTTTGTGAGACGAAAACCATGAAGATAAGAATTAAAAGTAAGGAAATAAGCAATTTGATGGATGTATCGATGATACATGAATAAAACTAGTTTACACCAAACGACAAAAATAACTCAATTCAGTTCATATAAATATTTATATTTATCGTCCATGTTTGCTGAATCGTGAAAACAGCAATCACATTATACTTGTGACAAGACAAATACAATTACACTTAAGTTACTCAAGTCTTACTTTCTACTTAATAATTAGAATTACAATACTGTACTGCACTGTAGTAATTACGCTCTCTTTTTCATAATATACAGTATATAAACCAAAAGTCAATTGCTTCAACGAATGCGACAATACTAGCGCCAAAGAATAGTCCAAGAGCGCCACCAAGATCACCTAAATAAAGCGAACATTATTCAATAATATTTTATTGTCATGTTATTTAAGGGATGATGGCCTGATACATGTTATAATGACGAAAATTGTTTAGATTTTATTCATTTCATTAAGTTTCATTCAAATAAAATAAATAGAAATGTATGTTAAATGTTACACTTAAGTTACTCAAGTCTTACTTTCTGCTTAATAATTAGAATTACAATACTGTATTGCACGGTAGTAATTACGTTCTCTTTTTCATAATGTACAGTATTAAACCAAATCGTGAAATGCATTATGTTGTCTTTTTCATAATGTACAGTATCAAATAAGTAACGAAGCATTAAAAACAATGTTACGACCTACATCGATTGACACGAACAAATTGACGTGTAAAAATATAACTTTAGTCGTATACAACTAGGCCTATACTACGTTAAATGCATTTCAAATAAGACAAAGTCATAAAGTGACGTTCCTTATGGTCAGCAAGGCGCGAAACAACATTTATTTATTTGTTTTAATGTTCTTAGCTACCTACATACCCAGTGTAGTTTGAAGTGCATTCCAAATATTAAATAACAAACTACTGTATCTTCCAATTACCTCGTTTGTAAAAAATAATCCACTACGAAACACCTTCTCCTCTATCCAACAAAACCACATCACATTTTATAGATATTGGCAGCTTGTGCTGTAGTTTCTTACAATTATATTTAGGCTATGTACTATAGTGTTAAGGTTAAATTTATGTGCCCTATTCGTCAGATTGTCTTCCATACTTAATATTTTTTTACATCATTCAAAAAATATTTAAAGTAAAATACGCCTAAATTGATCTTTTTATTAAGGATACTAACATGGTTGGTATGACAATGTTTTTTTTTAAATTATTTTTTAAATTTTTTACACTTAAGCATTAACAAGTACGCGAATGGAGTGCGTTCACTATTATGACACCCATTTATATTAGTCTATCATATCCTAATAATACTATATATATTACAATAAAACCTCAAAACGGTTCGCTGTGTTTATATTTACTGTTTTAATCTATCGATTTCTTCTTGCAACCGCAGCATCCTCTGATAAACCAAAAGTCAATTGCTTCAACGAATGCGACAATACTAGCGCCAAAGAATAGTCCAAGAGCACCACCAAGATCACCTAAATAAAGCGAACATTATTCAATAATATTTTATTGTCATGTTATTTAAGAGAGGATGGCCTGATACATGTTCTAATGACGAAAATTGTTTAGATTTTATTCATTTCATTAAGTGTCATTCAAATAAAATGAATAGAAATGTATGTTAAATGATATTTAAATTGTATTTTATTATTTGTTAGATTAGGTTAATTTTACTAGAGTTTACATAATAATATTAGTTATTATGGATCATAATAATGACTGTATTGTCTGGGTTATAAATGATTAAACCTACCGTAAATCACATTTTTAATGATTGAATAGTCTAACTTTGTTGAAATTATAATAAATTATAGATTATTTTTATGTCTATTTATATCAAATCAGTATGTAAATGTGCTAACTTGTACAAATTATGTAGACCTGTAATATGTGTAGGCCTATGTTATTTACAGAGAATTCGGGAATTCTATTTTTTTCACCAATTTGTTTAGAATTTTGTTTATTTGGCTTTAGATACGGTACCCTAGAAGCTGTAAGCAACAAATTGTTGAATTGCCTTGGTATATATTAGAATTAAACTGTGGGGCTAATTGTTGGTTACCCTCTTGTTCTACAATTCCCTGCATGATACTTACACATTATTGCAAAAACTTCGTATGCTTTTTGTTCTTGGATCTCTTCTACGTTTAAACTCTCGAAGTAGATGTCAACTCTGGCCAGATTATCTCTACAAACAAAACATATAAACAGTGGCGTATTTAGGAGTTTTTAAAAGGGGTGATGGGAATCGATGGGAATACAATGATTAAGTGGGGGCGCTAGTTTCCAAAATAAGGTGATACGAAGTGATTTATATCAAAATTCTTCAGGCATGTGTTTTTTTTTTGTTTTTTTTCTTCGAACATTTCCAATGAGGGACGACGAAAGGAGGGGAGCGAGTTTTTAGTGGGAGTGCGCCCCACTCCTCCACCCCGAGCACCCCTTGATAAGCCATACATGAAATAAAAGAAGTACATGATGCTTATATTTTTACCTACATACCGTAAATGATGAAGATAAATTTAGAACAATAATAACAGATAATATTTTGAAATGAAACAGTAAAGATAATATTGAATTGAGGAATTTGTATGGATACCTACAATTGTAATGAAAATTAACTAGGCCTAATTTGTGTGTTGATTGTTGGGATCGCCAATTTTTTTTTTTTTTTTTTTTTTTTTTTTTTTTTTTTTGTTGGGGGGGGGGGGGGATTTGAGGGTGGCTCTTAATCATCCTAACAACGTGGTGGATGTAGTCAACTTCTATATAAGGGTTATATTTTTTTTCCTAATTTTATTTATATGCACAAAATACTAGTAGGAATGAAACATATCATACCACAGCTGATTCACAATACAAAATCTTTCGGTGGTCTAGTGGTTATGACACCAGGCTAGTTATTTAGAGGTTGTGGTTCAATTCAATTTGGAAACGTACTGAACTTTAAATTGTAAATAATTTGTAGTAAAATGTCTGTAAATCAACTGACAGAAATTCGATCCGTTTCTGGTTGGAAGTTAATTAATTTTGATCAATACACGATTTATAAATTTTAATTAATTGTATTAGATTTGTTGACAAGCATTATCTTTATATGGCAAATTAAATAATGAATTTTCTGATATACATACTGCATATAACTGTATGTTAAGGAGCCCAGATCACCGGTTGTATAAAGGTTCTCGGCTACACCGACACTCATCTCCCGCATTTTAGGATAAACATATGAATATAGAGATTTTATCAAGTGGCCTATCAATCTCACGCTATGCTCTTTTGTGTAATTATCATACGGGTAGAATTTCTGAACGGCTTCTGTATAGGACACAATCAAGGTATCCATCTGACTTGAAAGCTCCTCCTCCAGAATAACAAACACTTCGTTATAGAAATCAGAGTTAACTGTTGTGTAATTGCATTCGTTTGCAAAATCATAAAAGATGGTATCACTGATTTTATTTATTACAAAAAATGATAAATCGTAGCTAATAACTCGGAAATTCTGGAGCAGCTTGTTTTGAAAGTCTTCCTTCATCCATTCTACGTGATTCGGGAGTTGCAGTTCATCTAAAGCACGTGCATAGAACTGTTCAATATGTGATACAACTTCTTCTGAAATCTCCTTTGTTCTATATGATACAGATTGTCTGAAATATGTGATATAATTTATAAAATTAATGAAATTACACAAATCAATTCACACAATCAACACTCAAATAACGAACAAATTATCTCAACGCTTTACAACCAACACATGGAACATCGCAAATAAGTAAATTTCTTTTCTCTATCTCTTTCGATAATTTTTTTTTTTTTTTTTTTTTTTTTTGCCTTTCGTGGGTGTAGCCCACCTTTATTCTCTCTTTTTTCAATGTTTAAATTTTTTTTTCACTAACTCTTGTTAAGGTTCAATAAACATTATGTACAGGATTTACATGAAAGTAAAGCAAAACAAATAATAAAAACTTCACGTGTCTACCACGAAGTACACTATCACATGAAATTTCTATAAACAATTATTATTTTTGATAAATTTTTACCTATTATTGCTTGATATTTTTTTTCTATAATTTAACAATTATAACTTTGCATAATATAATTGATTATGGTTCCTATTATACATTATAATGTCATTGAATACATGTAGTATATACCTATATAATGTATTAAGATTCAGAAATATAAAACATTTCATGACTTGTTAATAAAATACATTATAAGGTAAAATAAGGACATGAAATTATGTTTCTTAATAAAACACTCGATAAAATAAACTTATAATATACATAAACATATACACACATGCTTATATATACACATACACCTATATATATATATATATATAATATATATATATATATAATATATAATCTGCGTGGTTGGCTTAAACCAGATCATGTAGACAAGTGCTCAATGCAGTATATAGCAGAGCAGATAGAAAAATAAAACATGTAACACTGGGTTAAAGACTCAACATTTTATTGCACTACAGGCTGTTTCATGAGGGGTACCTCAATCATCAGGTGCTAGGCTCTGAGTGAGGGAATAATGAAGTACATAGATTGTGACAGTTTATCAGAACAAAAGTATGTTAATTACCAAGTGATTAAGTCTCTATTGTTTAGATGGATAAAAGAAAGCCTGCAGGATTAAGTAGTATATCGTAACAAGAACTTGCGTCTATGTCTACATGAACTGAATAATTTGTTCCTTTGATTTAGAGTACAAATTTCGGGTTGACATATAATAAAATACTTCTCTTGTATACAAAGGTTACATCGTTTGGTAGAGT